TATAACGCGTGGCGATGTAATGCGTGGTAATATAACGCGTGGCGATGTAACGTGTGGTAATATAACGCTTAGTAATATAACGCGTGGTAATATAATGCGTGGCGATGTAACGCTTGGTAATATAACGCGTAGCGATGTAACGCGTGGTAATATAACGCGTGGCGATGGAACGCGATGGAAGCGAAATATGTTCTTCAAACTTTGTTCAATTTCATCCTGAAGCGTCTTCTGGGGCGTCGATCCGGGAATTCGAAAATTTACTTCCAACTTTGATTTCTAACCGACTTTTCTGTGTACGTGTTCTTTCTGAATGCAAATAATCCTCTGTCCTTATCCGAACTGACCCTTAACCTTCCACCGTGTTTCCTGTTTGACCCACATTCGAGAAATTCATTCCAGGTGACATCGATTTGCACCGGCAATTTCGAATCTTTGAATTTCTAGATGACTTTCCTTTGTGCTGTTCCCCTTTCAGCTTCTTAATCTAAACAGACCCTTAACCTTCCATTGGATTTCCTACTTGACCTACATTCGAGTAATTAATTTTTACCGATGACAATTCGGAACCCACTGTTGCATAATAATTACAAGAAATATTAATCCATTGTTATCGAGGATGATTCAAAGTTTAATTAAAGTCTGGAAGACTCTTATGTTCCTTTCTCTGACCACTTTTTTTTCGAACACCCTTGTCTTGGTCTAAATTGTTCTTTAACCTGTGTTGGCTTTTTATTTAACCTCCAAGAACTATTTCTGAAAATTCACTTTAGTCCAAAGCTGTACTTAACCTTCTACTAGGATCTAGTGACTAAATTGTCTATTTCACCTAAATTCAATTTGAAACCCTTTCCTCTTTGCGAGTTTATTTTCAATCCTGTTCATATTTCATCGAATTTAAATAAGCATGTCTATTTTTATACTGACCCTTGACCTTCTATTGAATTTTCTATTTGACCCATATTCCTAAATGCGTCAATTTCCGTCGATTACAATTTCAAACCCTTTCAATCTCTTATTTCTCTTATAACAACTGTCGTGTCAGATCTAAGGATGCACTCTAAAGTTTTAGGTATTTTTAGAGCTCTGAAGACATGGGGTCATTACGAGATCTAGGGGAAATTGGATCTAGGGACATCAGAGTTACGGGAGATATGTGGTTCTAGGGATATGTTGGATCTAGAGATATGTGGAATCTACGGATATCTGGGATTTAGGGATATGTGGGATCTAAGGATATGTGGGATCTAAGGATATCTGGGATCTAAGGATATGTGGGATCTAAGGATATGTGGGATCTAAGGATATGTGGGATCTAAGGATATGTGGGATCTAAGGATATGTGGGATTTAAGGATATGTGGAATCTAGGGGTATTTGGGATTTAGGGATATCTGGGATCTAAGGATATGTGGAATCTAGGGGTATCTGGGATCTAGGGATATGTGGGATCTAAGGATATGTGGGATCTAAGGATATGTGGGATCTAAGGATATGTGGGATCTGGGGATATCTGGGATCTAGGGATATGTGGGATCTAAGGATATATGGAATCTATGGATATCTGGGATCTAGTGCTTTCTGCGATCTAGGGTTCTAGGGATCTAGACATATCGGAATCTATGGATATTTGTGTTTACCGGAGTATAAGAATATTTGGATTTATGCATACCGGTGTCTAGGGATATCAAAACATAGACATACCGGAATCTAGACATATGTAAATCTAGGTATTCTGGAATTTAAAAATATCTGGATATAGAGTACAAGAATCTAGAGAAATCTGTTTGTAGATATCTAAATGTTTGAGAACATCCAAGAACCTAAAATATACTATATGTATAATGTACCATGTTCTATACATAACGTTCTATAATAATATACCAACACGTTTCCTTATTGTACAATAGTACAGATTACAAACGTTCAGCCCCAGAAATTCTGCACATATTTCGAATAATAAACTTTATTGCAATTTGAGCTATGCTCGAAAGTTAATGCATGAAATTGCAGTTCCTATTGCACGAACCAAGTAATAATATCCGAAATGTTCCTCCCGTTAACCGATATGAACCTATGTTCATGATCAGACGCAAATAATTACGATCAGTTCCGATATTCCTACGAACTTATTCCTCCGAAAGTAGCTGTCTTCGGTGAAACCCTTAACCTTCCATAGAAGTCGCAGTTTGACCCACTTACTAAAAATTAATTCCAGGCCGCATCAATTTCCCGCGGTGACAATCGCAAATCCCCCGATCGAGTATATCGTTCTCGCAACGTAGGTAATTACGATTTAATGCCACGAGCCGAGTCGAAGCAGCGATCCAATTTCCACGGTGACACAGTTTTCCGCGAGGAGGTTTCCACGTGGTGCGAACAGGTCTGGAAATCGCGATCGAAGAGCTTTTCGAGAAGAGCGCGGGGTCGCGGTGAAACGTGTACGCAAGCACGGCACAACACTTCACGGAATACTGACAAGTCTGAGCAGAAGAAGAGTCCACGACGATGCCATGTGACCGTCATTCCGTGCTCTCCTTCTCTTCTCTTCACTGCCACCACCCACGCATCTGGCAATGCCCGAAGAAACGCCCATGTGCGCTAGCAACGTTTATTTCGAGATAAACAAGGAGAGAGCCGAGAAGAAGAGACCGGTGCGATGCGGTGCATGCCGGCGAAACAGCGTAAAAGGGAAACCGGGGGTATATTCCTCGAATGGCCAGGAACACACGCGTGCTCGACTAAATATAATTAGAAGATTCGGAGATTGGCCCCTGCCGCGAAACCACGACGAACTTACCCTCTCAAAAATCGCTTTATAGACTTTCGTCTCCGAACATTGAATGTGGATTATAGTTTTACACATCGAACTTGGATTCATCATTCTGCTGCTGCATCATATACTATACTAGTAAAATACCATACTAACAATTGTACATGTACAGCTAGCAAGTCCAAACAGCTGTGACAAGGATGTTTGAAGCGATTTCGTAAAATGAAATAAAAAAATTGTGTGAGCCTAGCGGCGTATTTTGAAGGGATGTATTTTGAATAATAAAATTAATTTTGGTAAAAAAACTAACTCTTTTCTTTCTATTTAGAAAGTTCCGCAATTTTTCTGACGTACTGTGTGTATAGTAAAATGGGGGAGTAATAAAGTAATAAAACAGCAGAATAGTAAGATGATCAGCTCGTGAGTTAGCAGCGAGTAGTACAATAACATTATAGTAGAATATTGAAATAATAGAATAGTTGATCGGTAGAGTAACAGAGTAACAAAGTAATAAAACAAAATGGTGGAATGATCGCCCCGTAATCTACCAGCGAGTAGTACAATATTATTATAGTAGAATATTAGAATAATAGAATAGTAGACCCGTAGAGTAACAGAGTAACGAAGTAGTAAAACAAAATGGTGGAATGATCGCTTCGTAAGCTAGCAGCGAGTAGTATAATACAATTATAGTAGAATATTGAAATAATAGAATAGTAGACTGGTAGAGTAACAGAGTAACGAAGTAGTAAAACAAAATGGTGGAATGATCGCTTCGTAAGCTAGCAGCGAGTAGTACAATATTATTTTAGTAGAATATTGGAATAATAGAATAGTAGAACCGTAGAGTAACAGAGTAGTGAAGTAATAAAACAAAATGGTGGAATAATCGCTCCGTAATCTACCAGCGAGTAGTACAATATTATTATAGTAGAATATTAGAATAATAGAATAGTAGACCCGTAGAGTAACAGAGTAACGAAGTAGTAAAACAAAATGGTGGAATGATCGCTTCGTAAGCTAGCAGCGAGTAGTATAATACAATTATAGTAGAATATTAAAATAATAGAATAGTAGACCGAGTAGTACAATATTATTATAGTAGAATATTAGAATAATAGAATAGTAGACCCGTAGAGTAACAGAGTAACGAAGTAGTAAAACAAAATGGTGGAATGATCGCTTCGTAAGCTAGCAGCGAGTAGTACAATATTATTTTAGTAGAATATTGGAATAATAGAATAGTAGAACCGTAGAGTAACAGAGTAGTGAAGTAATAAAACAAAATGGTGGAATAATCGCTCCGTAATCTACCAGCGAGTAGTACAATATTATTATAGTAGAATATTAGAATAATAGAATAGTAGACCCGTAGAGTAACAGAGTAACGAAGTAGTAAAACAAAATGGTGGAATGATCGCTTCGTAAGCTAGCAGCGAGTAGTATAATACAATTATAGTAGAATATTGAAATAATAGAATAGTAGACTGGTAGAGTAACAGAGTAACGAAGTACCAAAACAAAATGGTGGATCGCCCCGTAATCTACCACCGAGTAGTACAATACCATTCTAGTAGAATATTAGAATAATAGAATAGTAGACCCATAGAGTAATAGAATAACGAAGTAATAAAACAAAATGGTGGAATGATAGCACGGTAGGCTAGTAGCGCGGAAGAATCGAAACATAGTGAAACATGTTTCACCGTTTCGGCAGACTGGGAACAATATATTATCGTCACTCAGGTATTTCAAGTACTACGTGTTGTCTTTTCAAACCTAATTTGATTCGCGATAAAATCGCGTGTAATCCACACGTTAATACAGAAGTAATTTGTTACGTCTGATTTTTGCAAGATCTGATCGTTTTAAGTAAAAATCGAACGTCCCTAACAAAGAGTACACGGACAGTTTATTACGTATGAAGAATTTGTGTTGGGGTAAGGTTAGTGCTGCGCGCGTGCACGCTTGCGTGTCTGTCACGCATCTGCGTACGGAAACAGAGCGGAGCGCGTATTTCCTCCAGAAATGAAGAGCCACGTTTCCTTTCGGAGTAGAACACGGTAACCCTTTCAATGTGTTCCCTTCGGCTCGTAATCAGCCAGACGGTTCTTCGAAAAGTTCTGATTTTTAATAACACTGTAGGTAAAAATGTTGCATGGAGAACAACCGTTTATCTTTGTTGATGATCGCTCTTGCGAGCATTTCGTGTAGCGTCAAGCAGGTTGCAAAAAAAAAATACAATCCTCAATTTAATTTTCAACGTTCTTTTAATCCTGTTTTACCAGCTCGGATTTCATGGTAATACGAGAGATAATCAGAAAGTTCTAGAAATTATCCCTTGTACTGCCTGCGTGGAAATAAATTTAATTCGACGAACTAGATCCCTGCGTCATAGGTCGTAGAGGTATAATTAAAAAATAAATACGATGGAATCATCGTGTTAATTAAAGCAGCTCTTTTCATTTCACTTTGAAATTTGATAAATTGTGAAAGGAAGTTATATAAATACAATTTGAAAATATATCCAAGTACAATGCACGTTTAGAGAGGACAAGAAGCTAGGACGTAGAGAGAATTAGAAGCTAGGAAATTTCTAAGCGATATTATAATTGTCTATTTATAAATCGGTAAACAGCATGATTAATAGTACGCGAGAAAGGCTGTATCGATCGTCGAAAATAATTTTGTAGGAAAAGCAAGTATAAATTCTTTCGGCAAAGCAACGAGGTTGGCTAAAACCTAAAAGCGGGAATGATTTATTGGCGGTGGATGGTGGAGCTTCGTGTTACGAGGCATAGCTCCATTCTTTCTACGGGAACAAAACACACGATGGGAATGGCGAAACGGTTCTCCTAAATTCGAAGAAACGTTCGTAGTCGAGTCTGGCTCGTGATGTCACGTGCCGCGCACTCGAACGTTGAAAAATGTGGCCGTCTATGACCGTTCAGCTTGCCGATTTGCCGAGGAAGAAACGTTGACATTTGGCCGACACGTGTTTTACACGGTTTCGTGCACGCTCCTTTCGTTCCCGATACTCGTTATTTTATTTTCTCCCGACGCTATTATTATTTCGCTGCTTCGTCCGATTCGAACATTTCGAAATTTAAATTCCGCGAACTTCCGATGTTCAGTGTATTCCAAAGAGTCGTAAACCTTGCGGAATTAATTAAAGGTTTCGAACTGAAAAATTACACTCGACCAATTAATATTTCTCGCAACGAGCCGCTATCGGTGTAAGATACAATTTGTGGCGATCTGTTACGGAACAAAGTATGAAAATAATTAGCTGCAAATATTAACGAACGTCTTAACACGCGATTGAAAGCCGTTCGAGAGCGCTGTCGGTGCACTCATTCGATAGTACGCGAAGCGTAGGAGAAACACGTTCGGGATTAAAAACAAAGCGTGGTCGATGCCTGTGCTTCGAGGAAGCTCCAATTGTTAAGCGACGCCTCTTTATCTCGAGCTTTCCACGTTTAAAAGCTTCGCAGCTATCCGAGACAATAGGTTTAACAGCTGTAAGCAGAGAGTACCGATAATCAGTGCCGTCTTCGACGGAAACGAGACGAATGCATAATGAACTTACACATTCAGTCACGTTTTGGTGCCTTCTACTCCCGTCCTCTCCCATAATCCTTAAGAAAAATTTGAATTTCTAATGACGTACGAGCTTGGAGAGGATTATCCGCGAGAAACAAACGTCTCTTTACGACTTCTCCGTTTCTGCGAACGTGTATCTTCTGCTCTCGCCACCAATTCAACCGAACGCCTGTACGCGTTCTTTCGTTCGTTTTCTGCGCCTTAATACCTTCGTTACTTTTTCCCGGCAAAAACAAATGTGTCGGGGCTAAAGAATACTGTTTCGCTGGGTTTCAAATAAACGAATGTACATCGATATATACGAGCTCGAAGATAAACTCGGAGCAAGTATACAGTCAGTGGGAAATCTGTTTTTCCTAGGGAAAATATTTCACACTCAGGACGCAGATAATTTTGGGATTTAGGAATTTTTTAGAACTAGGGATTATGCAGTACGGAGATTTAGGGATTTCACGGTTTAGGGAATTCAGTGAATTATTGGGGTTTGTGGATTTAGGGATCTAGGGAATTTCAGAATCTAGGAAATTTTGGGGGTTTGGGGATTTGACGATATAGGGAATTTAAGAATCTAGGAAATTTGGGGGGTTTGGGGATTTGACGATATAGGGAATTGCAGAATCTAGGGAATTTTGGGGGTTTGGGGATTTGACGATATAGGGAATTGTAGAATCTAGGGAATTTTGGGGGGTTGGGGATTTGACGATTTAAGGAATTTCAGAATTTAGGGAATTTTGGGGGTTTGGGGATTTGGCGATTTAAGGAATTTTAGAATTTAGGGAGTTTTCGGATTTGGGGTATTTCACGGTTTAGGGGCATTTCAAAATCTAGGGAATTTTTGGATTTGGGGTATTTCACAGTCTAAGGGAATTTCAGAATCTAGGGAATTTTGGGGGTTTGGGGATTTGACGATTTAAGGAATTTCAGAATTTAGGGAATTTTCGGATTTGGGGCATTTCACGGTCTAGGGGCATTTCAAAATATAGGGAATTTTTGGATTTGGGGTATTTCACAGTTTAAGGGAATTTCAGAATCTAGGGAATTTGGGGGGTTTGAGGATTTGACGATTTAGGGAATTTCAGAATCTAGGATTTTGAAGAATCTAGAATTTTTGGATTTGGGGTATTTCGTGGACTAGGGGAATTTCAAAATTTAGGGAATTTTGGGTGTTTGACTATTTAGGGAATTTTAGATTTGGAGTATTTCACGGTTTAGGAGAATTTCAGGATCTAGGGCATTTTGTTCGTTTAGGGATTTAAGGATGTAAGGAATTTGGAGGTGTAGGGTATTTGGGGATTTGGGACTTGAAAATCTAGGGAGTTTTGACGTTTATGTTATTTGGAGATTCAGGGATTTAGGACACTAAGGTTTTTATAACTTAGGGATTTGAGCAGCTAGGAATTATGTAATTTAGGGATTCTGGGATCTGTCAACTTGAGATCTAGGGATTGGGAAATGTATGTACTTGTTCGTCTAGGAATTTACGAACCTATGAATTTAGATGTAGAATTTAAATGTAATTATATAAATTACATTGTACTACTACAACGAAAATGCTGCACATCTAAATTCGTACAGGTACAAATTGTAATCAAATAATTGTACAAATTACATTGTACTACTACAACGAAAATGCTCTACATCTAAATTCGTACAAGTACAAATTGCAATAAAATAATTGTACAAATTACATTGTACTACTACAACGAAAACGCTCCACATCTAAATTCGTACAAGTACAAATTGTAATAAAATAATTGTACAAATTACATTGTACTAGTATTACTACTATTATTACACTCTTCCACTATGTAACATCACTATACCCTATCTGACTTCTCCAACACACATTCACTCCATAATTCGCTTACCCCGTAAGAACGTCGACCCGCCTCACACTCGAGACACCGAAGAGGCAATGCTAAAGGCACTTATTTGTTTGGTTTTGTTTCACGCAAGGCCGCGTAACACGAAACCGCGTGAATAAAGATACGTTTTGCGGAATAAACGTATAAAGGCGCGCACGAAGAATTCCTCGTAAAGAGGAAGATATATACCATGGAACTGCACGGTACATTTAGACGCTAATGTTTGTTTCGACTCGTTCGAACGAGCGATCAACGGAGTCGCCTTCGAGGGATCGATAGAGAGCGAGCACGGTGCATGACCGAGATCGAGATCTGGATTACTCGGCCGGTAACGTCGCGAGGCAAGGTTCGAGGTCACTGAGACTCGAGTGAAAGCCACGAGTCTGGAATATCCCGTAATCGAGACGTAGTATTCGTCGACATCGATTCTGGTCGAGTGTGTTTCACGTGGTACAGCGTTCCTAGAATTTGCATTCTCGTAAACAACTTGCGAGGAAAAACTGTGTAAGAACTTTCTTTGACGGTGACGTCAAAGAAATTTAGTTCCTTTTTTTTTTAGACTGAACAAGAAGCGATAGTGTTCCGCGTGTAATACAGTGTATTTAAAATCTGCATTCGTGTAAACAAATTTTGAAGTCGAGTGATTAAATAAAAAAATCGATTTTAATTTTCTTTCATTCAGTAGAAATTAAGAGTGTTACGCTGTAAGTTTGAGGAAGAAAGAGAAACGTGGAAGATGTTAAACAGAGATCGCCACAGTGAGTTCAGAGATACACAATAATTTTAATAATTTCGTTCGAATTAACCTAACCGAGTAAACGACGCAAATATTCGGATTGTAGTCGTGAAAAGTATTATCGAATTGCGTTGGGAGTTTGTTAATCGATACTGTTTGTTTAAGAAAATATTAAGCCGATTTGATGTTGGTAACAAGGATTTCCTGTTTACGTAAAAGATAATTTGTGATATAACACTGATAGTACGATTCGTAATTCATGACTGTAGTGATCAATCGTGGATATTTAATTTCTCGTTAAGAACGCGATGAAAATTTCTGGTATCAGTTTCAGTCACGAAGACAGCTTCGATTCTTCTGTACCTTTGAAGAGTAATATAGTAACCATTACAGATTAGATGTGTGCACAATAAATCTTTATTCTCAAATATAACAAGCTAATTCCAAAGACCTAAGCATTTGTAAGAACCTATTATAGCAATTATTTTATTTAAGAAAGTTTATTGAATTTTTAAAACGATTATAACTTTGATACAAATGATTTTTTATATATCGAACGATTAATCGATCGAACGATCGAATTGTATAATACATCTTGAGACGCCAGTATCAGCGTCGTCATACCATCATACTTCGATGGCGTCGTACTTGAAGCCCCACACCATTCCACGCTATAAAAAATTATTATAACCCAGTACGTAGCAACCAAACTTAAAAAAGTTCTTCCCCAAAAAATACTCCAATTGATCTAAAAAATAAAGTCGGTATAAAGCCATCATTGCATCGATAAACTACCAGTTCAATCGGTCAATCCGTACCCTGTGTATCAACCCCGTCGCGATTTGCCAAACACCCTTCGGCGAAAAAACAAAGTCCAATTCCAATTTCCCCAATTCCAAATTTCCCTAATTCCCAATTTCTCCAATTCCAAATTTCCCCAATTCCAAATTTTCCCAATTCCAAATTTCCCCAATTCCAAATTTCTCCAATTCCAAATTTCCCCAATTCCAAATTTCCCCATTCCCAATTTCCCCAATTCCCAATTTCTCCAATTCCAAATTTCTCCAATTCCAAATTTCCCCAATTCCAAATTTCCCCAATTCCCACATTTCCCCAATTCCTAATTTCCCCAATTCCCACTTTCCCTAATTCCAAATTTCCCCAATTCCAAATTTCCCCATTTCCCAATTTCTCCAATTCCAAATTTCCC